CTCAGGGTGACCTTATAATTATGAAACGGTGCAAAAACCGATAAACTGTTCTAAAAAAGTTCAGAAGAATGCAGCAGCGGCTAAGCGACGGATACCTAGGTTATTCGTGCTGGGGAATCTGTTCATGATGCTAGAAAAAATCATTAATGATTACTTTTTTTGAAAGTGCAAAAATTGAGGGTGACCTTATAATTATGAAACGCACTGTATAGTAGTGAGAGTATAAAAAATGGAGAAGTCAGACAAGCCATGATGCGGCCTTGAATATAAATTGATCCGTAATAAATTTTGAACTTTAGATTTTATCAGCACTCGTTTGTACAAGGTGTTGAGCTGATCCGCCAACATCGGCATCGAACGTGAAAGTGTTATTTCACCGCAGTTTTGGATTACCTTTATCAAAGAGGTTGATATTCTTAGGAGAGTAGTAGAGGGCGAGCGAGAAATCAGGCAATTTTGGCGGAGGAATCAACAATTTATACCCTTCTTTTGATATTTTCCCACTTCATTATTACCAACTTTTCTTGCTGTGTATTACATGGCAAAAAAAAAAACGCGCCGTTAGTAACTGCCCTTGATGATTTTGACAAAAAATGTAGTGGAAACCAGTGAAGACCTATTCATAAACCACTTTATATCAACCTGGAAAGAAAAGAAATCGTCGTTTATATTTTAGGTTGGGAGATATGTCCTGCAGCATTTGCATATGTTCCTCCCGGAGAAAACTAAAGCCCTTTTCAAATGTTTTCGCGCCTGGTTGCTGTGTAGTGTTCTTGGCTCCTAGATAACTGTGGTGATTATATTGTATAATGAAGGATTTGTTTAATGAAGAAATATTAGATTGTTGGAAAAGCCTTTCCACGCTTTCGTTTTCATGTTGTGAAATCTTCGGGGTTTGCTTTAACGTAAAATGCGGAGCATTCGTAGGTGCAGTTCATGCGCTCTTCGCATAATATCTGCCGTAGCATTTCGCAACGGTCATGGCTGGAAGAACTGCTCTTGGCCTAAAGCAGGCTAGACTGCTTCTGCGTTATAAGTAAGAAAAAACGTCAATCCAATTAGAGCGACAGGGAAATATGTGGTGCGATGGGACCCTCCATTGTCTCTCACAGCACATCAGGAAAATGGTACCATGAGTGTGAAAATGACCACTTTGACTGGACCGAAAAAACACTATCTGGGAGACCAGTTGAGCTGAATAACGACCACCTTCTGAACCTGATTTGAGAGTATTCCAGGTCTATTATCCTCCTACTGAAACAGGAGCTCAATAGCCATCACGGCACAGTAGCTGCCCAGTTGCGTCGGCTCGGAAAGACACGGAGATTCGGAGATATGGATAAATAGTGGGCTGTGCGGTCACCATCTCTAAATGAAGAGGGGCTCATGCCTGAACTTGTTGGCTTTCCGACGCACCTTCGCATAGCTGGAAAACTTGATTACCATCTAAGCGAAGTGTGTTCTCTACGTAAACAGAGGGAATGCCAGTGGATTGCATGCGTAGAGCGTGGAATCCCGACCTTCAAAGTAGAACTCCCACATAAGAAGGCAACGCTAAGCGTTGGAGGCATTTCGAAAGATCGTTTCACCGGGACTCTCTCCCGCCAAACTGCTTTGTCCGCACTGAAGCCGAGTATACTCTGTGGACCGGATTGCTGCAGCCTTACGTAAGAAACAGGGGAAAGCCTACTTATCCACGACAGTGCTCGCTCACACATAGCAAAGAAGATCCAGAAGAAACCTCAAGGCTCGGGTTGGCATGTTCTGGCCCAGGCACCGTATTCATCGGGCCAGCTTTAGCGGATTGTCACCTGTTCGTGTAGCTATCAAATCATCTGAAGATTAAGAAGATCGATGATGTGAACCAGCTCGAGACGTACCTTGGCGAGTTTTCTCCCCGAAATCCCGGGAATTCTATGCATGCAGAATCTACAAGTCGCCTATTTAATGTCCATACCTTGCCGATAATGAAAGTGCATAATTTGATGTTTATTAACTGTTGTGAAGGAAAAAATAAATCTGAAAAGAAATTCGCAAAATGTGCAAAGATATTTCCGACAATCTAATATAAATTCAAAAATTTGTCCAAAGTGTTGCAGGACTTCCAATCTAGTACTATGCCTGCTTGTTAAGAAATATATGCGCAGTGATACTGATCAGTATAGGTCAATCGGTATGGGTGACTACCAAGCTATCGTTTCAATTAAAAATGAAAAATTTTGGTGGATGCACTCGAGTCCGTAGGATAGAAGAATGAGTTAGTTTCTTCTAATAATCATGTCTACCTTTGCCATCCTTTCAAGAACAACTCACCGTTTTGCTGACGCCAAAAGAGGAGAGCCGACGGCGTAGTGGACAGAACCCGATTTGAATTTAGGTGCCCCTAAAAGGCAAGCTGTGAACACACGTCAACAACGACATCTAAAGACATCTCCCTCCAGAGAATCTTGTGACTCTCCAGCTAGATAGAACACGAAGATATGCAGTGGATGAAGATAATAGCGAGGTACTGATTTCTGAGACTTATCAGTTCTAGTTCTATTGAAAGTTATTGTATGTAGAAGTTATCCACTTCCAATCAAGCGTACAATCGTTAGGGAGATGGATCGATAGTCCGTATAGGCGCAAATTTAGTCATTTCTGTCTCTTGGACTGCATGTTAATCGAGTAGCCTATTGAAGGAGTAGTGTTGAAAACCATCGCTGAAGGTGTCAAGTCGACGTGTATTTTGTGAAGTGATCAGACTCATGGAACTGAGTTTCTACGATATAAGCATTCATTGCCAATGGGCAGCTCGAGAATCGTGTTACATCTGCAGAGTAGGTTTACCATTCAATGGGACTAGACATCAACGGGGGACGGTACATTAAATTTGCGCGGCGAAATTCGTGGCGATTCGAATGACTCTAGCGCCCAGGTCTCTGATCTTCTCACCGAACGGCGTGTTGCTATCGCCGCACTCGTTCGCGCGCTATGAAGGGAAGGATTTGAAAACTCAGTGGAAGGACATGGAAGTCGCAGCGGAACCTTTGCCACTAGCCGCGGGAGTTCGGGGAGAAGTTCCATCACCCTGGGTGCCTTTTATCGGGGCACAAACCTGGAATTAAGTAGATTAGTAGGGTCAGCTGATACCACTAATCTTGACGATCTGTACGACTCTGACGCCAATTTTCGGGGCACAAACTCGAAGCAGAGTATTTTAATAGGGTCAGATGATCCTTCTAAACTACTCTACTTCAAATTTGGGCCCCAGTGATAGACAGTGAAGTCGTTCAAATCGTTACTAAGTTCACCGCGCATTTTGCCGCGCGCAACCTCGGACGCACATACTGTCATATAACCATCTACATTACTTCAAATTCGGCTCTATAATAAGCGCTGCAGCCGACCAAATCCCCATGATATTCGCCGCCCAATTAGCCGCGCACAGTTCGAATCGCACGAATGTACACACACCCGAGATCAAGGTATCAGCTATTTTTCGCTTCGAGAAGCAGCTGCGATCCATTCACGCAAGGATTAATTCAGAAACTTCCAAAAAAAAANAAAAAAAAAGATATCGAAATGATCGTTACAACTTGAGGAACGCTGGTGTAGTTGTAATATTGCTGATCGTTCTAGGGACCAAGCAAAATTTTCGATGCCAACAGTGGCTGAGTCCACAACAATAATTCGCAAAAGTTGTCAGCTTGCAGAGATTTGCAAAATAAGGAATCAATTGAGAAACAACGAGTTCATAGAAACCCAGTGGTTGCTCTGCATCCACAAATTTCAAAATATCAGAATTCCAATGAACAGGCTCACCAGTCCTACTCTCCTTAGCTTCAAACTTTTTCTTCCGCTGCTGGTATTTCGCTTCGCTTTCCATAAGCGCAACAACACATTGCGCATGCTCCTTCACCGAACTTGCCTTCTTTGTACATCTTTTGTGTGCTGCTCGCTCAAACCGCCCAACAGTTGCAAGTCTGAATTGCTGTCAATCACTACAATTAAAGCAATTTGTTGTAACGGTTTGCATCTGGAAATAGAGGTCTAGCCTGCCTGGCATGATTGATACCACTATGGAAATTAGACCACCGTCAGACATAATTTGTCTCTTTTTCCATTTTTGAAATTGTGTTCTTTGTTGGTCAACCACCAGACTCGACTGTAGCATGTTATAAATGTGATCGGCGTAGAAAATGGGGCGATAACTGAGAAAACGGCGACCATATTGGTGGCGAGCGGCACCCAGGAATTGTGTCAGGACCTTTAGTAAATCGGGTGACCGAGTCTCAGAGCATTTGATGGGTGGATTAAGGAGGCTGACAGTTCTATCGTCAGGGTGAGTGACCTCACTACCACTCGGCTCACTACTGTTATCTTTAGACAAATTGATGAAAAATTGATCGGTTGTCGGTGTTCTCCGGCATAATCACTCCCAGGTAATGGGTAAAGAACCATCTTCTGAGCATAACCTGAATAAATGGCTATAACATGGGAAAAATCGAGTAGGAATTGATAGCTGGGAACAATTTGACTCAGAAAAGACAGAACACACTGGCTACTGACAATTACTACTCAATGACTTAGGGAGGTTCCTCTGATGCTTGCTATGTGCTCATACACAGCACCTATGAAATCTACTTAATAGAGAGATAAAAGATACAGAGATCATCAGAATGTGCCACGTACTGAAAAATAGGCCTTTACTACACAGTAGAACCATTTCGGTATTTGAGTTAATTACAAAAACTTGCACAGCACTGAATAGTGCCTGGAACTGCTCAGCGATTCCAGGGCTCTCTTTCCAGACTAATATAGAATAACCGTCCGAACTCTGAAGTACTCCATGGCGAAACGAGCCTATATGCTTGGATGTATACCTCTAACCTCTAATGGAGTTTTCCTGGAACCTTGCTTTCACAAATAGCTGAACTCAAATGGCATATTGGATTTTAAAAACCTTTTTAAATTGACTCGAAACTGATTACAAAAGGACTTTGAATTTGTGTTATCCGAGCAAATTCAAGAATCCTTGCGGAAAGGTACGTACACTCCGTCGGTCTAACTACGTTGGGGTGTTGAACTGGTGCTCTATAAAATCAGATAAAGTAGTTCACGTGCAATAGAGGGAACCTGTTAGGCAGTGAACTATTGCTCCAGGTGAGTTCCAAGATATGGTACACAATAAGTCAAAGTGTACGCACATTTGAAGTAATTCAATATGTTTAATGGTGAGGCTGAGCAAAAGGGACGATGGGCAAAGTTTTGGCGTAGAAAGCGCGCAGGTAGCAATGCTATAGTAATTATCAGGGTTAACATGGTCAAAAACGTCTACAATTTGAAGCCTCCAGTGCACCAGTGCACCATGGCAAACAATCACTGCAGAGTAAGGTCAGAAGGGATGTTAGTAGCTGAAAGAGAACCGATGATATCCTTGAATCGGAATTTACATATAGCAACAGGGTTCGATCATAAAAACAGTTAGTCAGGCGATTGTTCCCCTTTATCTGAATGGTAAAAACTGTAAAAAAAACAGCCTCCATACAGTAGCCCTCATACTAGCCCATCATTATGGCACAATTTCCAAACTCACTATCGACTGTGGTCGATTTAATCTTATCATCTCCTTCAAGGAGGATAAAAATTGGGAAGTAGAACAATTTATAATTATGCTCTTTTCAATTGAGCGGTTCATTCCATAAGGCAAGAAAAACGCATCATGCTTTTCTTTCGGAGTACAGAAAGGTTGAAAGTGGAACGAAAGAGGGCAATGAAAATGGATACATTTGCTTGTTTACATAACTACTACGTATGAGACTAAATGTGTAGAATTGATCAGAATGTAAGAACGGCAATGTGCCATTCTGAGCATGACTTAAAAATTTTCGGGAACCAAATTGTGAGCAATAAGCTCATCTTCGGCACAAAAACAATGCCTTGACTAGCGCCAGCGCTTGATCCTACTCCCCC